TCTTTCAGCACGACAATGATCCCAAACACACCGCCCGGGCAACGAAGGAGTGGCTTCGTAAGAAGCATTTCAAGGTCCTGGAGTGGCCTAGCCAGTCTCCAGATCTCAACCCCATAGAAAATCTTTGGAGGGAGTTGAAAGTCCGTGTTGCCCAGCGACAGCCCCAAAACATCACTGCTCTAGAGGAGATCTGCATGGAGGAATGGGCCAAAATACCAGCAACAGTGTGTGAAAACCTGTGAAAAATGTGATTTTCTGGAGAAAAAAAATTCTTCTCATTTTGTCTCTCATAGTTGAGGTATACCTAGGATGAAAATTACAGGCCTCTCATCTTTTTAAGTGGGAGAACTTGCTCAATTGGTGGCTGACTAAATACTTTTTTGCCCCACTGTATCTACTAATAAAGGGCTGGCTTTTCTAAAGCCAGTTGAGTAGCACTTGAAATGTTTTGGCTCTATGAAACCTGATTTACTTATATGATTCTGTTTTCTTCAAGTTTGTATCTTCTTGGTCGAATGCACTTATTGTAAGTCGCTTTGGATAAAAGCGTCAGCTAAATGCAATGTAATGTAATGAGATACAAGATGGACATATTCCCTAAAGGATCTGATAATGAACAAGTACCGGTAATCAAGACCTTTGAACATATGACAACATCAAAATCATGTCAAAGCTTGCATATGGAGATAGTCCTTAAGATTTCAATCAGGGTTCACTTTTTGTTTTATGAAAGTAATCAGTCGATTTTTCCTGTCCTGCCATGCCCTTCATCTTGATTTGTAGACTATGCACTATCTGCTGCTTCACGATAAAAAGCAACACGATGTTTCGCCAGTTGAATGCTTTTAATGTGAACTTGAGAGTAGGAGAAAAAAATGGTTTGCATTAGCAGGAACTCAATACAGCTCTTCTAGTCTGTAGAAAAGAAAAGAAACGGTAAACTGAGATGCTAGTATCGAGCATTTACAAGAAATGAAATAATGCAGTTATAGTAGGCTTTATCCAGTTAGCTGATTTCTTAATTGTCATGTAAACGAATAACCTAATGGTTAGCGTAACTTGAAAAGGGATCGGCGAAACTTCATTAGTTTAACTTAATGTTTCCGAGATATTGCTGTATCTCTGCTATGTATACATGTAACCACATTTTGTATTCGCCTTTTACAAGAGTGCATATGGATAGCAAAACACTCCAGATGGGTTGAACAGCAGCTGGATGAAAGAAGAGATCCCTTACAGAGCATTGATTTGTTTTACATTTGAAAAAAAATCAATCATATCTGGCTCAAAATGAAAGAAAATAAGCTAGCCTGCACCACCCAGCAAAGTCTTCGACAGTTATGTAAGAAAGCCATGTCTATTAAGCTAACGTCAGGTGAGAAATATTATTCCTAACCTAATGACTTTATGGTAACCTGGTTACTTGGAGACATGTAAACACACTTAAAGGGTTTAATTAGATACAACTATTGACATTAAATCACAAACAGTAACACTCGATTACATGCTGCATCATTCCCTATTAATCACATGTGTGTAAATGCAATTTAAATCTTGTTTGAGAAGGACAAAACACGACACTAACAATAGAAACTGCTATATAGAGACAGTGTTAATGCATTCACTATTACTAAATATGTTCAATGTTCAAAATGATAGCAATTTGAAAATAAAATGCTAAAATTATTGAATCTAAGAATTCTTAATATTAATATGTCTTTCCCAGCTTCAGACTCAAATCCTGATACAGCCTAAAAGTGTTACCTGTGAGGAAGAAGGTGGTTTAGGGCGCATGAAATCCTTGAATGAACTTTTACACCTAAGGGAGATTTATTTTACAGTATGTAATTCTGAAGCGGAAAATGTTTGCACATCTTGGGAAATTACCCCGTGAAGGATCATTGCCGTTCCTGTAATGTTGATGTTACATCATAAAAAATAGCAAAGGATGGAGGAAAGGCAAACCAGAAGGTAACTGACTAACTGTTTCTACCACTTTGTAGATGCTTAAATAGGGAATATAATCAAGGTGCCCTTGACTGAGGGACTTACTTGATGAACAATGCTAATACGGCTGCTAATGAGACAAGTTCAAATGCTTGTTGAAGCCTTTTCTGGCTGTGTAAGGACTGTCCTTGAATTTTAGGGCAGACAAAAGCTGTGTAGAGACCAAACTCTTAACCCGACAGTAAAGGAATTACTGAAATTCACTGCTTTTCTACTCTGTAAGAGCCGGGCACGTTTTTTGAATCACTCCAAAGAAGTCATTTATATTGCAGGACATACAACAAAGTCCTATTCGGGGGGGAGTGTGCTCCTCTTGTGTCTTCATCTTTTGCTGGCCTGTTTTGTCTTGGCACAGTAAGAAGGAAGAGGGCAGACATGTGATTGAGTTTCAAGTTCAATCAGCTATGTAATTGGATAATTATAATACTAAAATGGCACTGTCAAGTGGTGCTGGATGACTCTGGTGGCTCGCTGTCGGCTCTAATGTCATCTTTTTGATTCACAGAGCTGCTCAAGTTAGTTTGCTGTGAGCTGATGGAAAGTCGCTCATCAGATATTCACAACTATTTACAAACGGCCACCACATCTGCCACTTCTGGATTTATCTCCTAGTTTTGTTCAGAACTGATGCGGCTCCTCTGGAGGAGCAGTATTTTTGACTAGGAAGGATTAAAGAGATGGGTTTTTGAAGCTTTATTACTTTAGCTTGTTGTGGCTGACACTGGAAGGTGAGCCTTATCATAGTTTAAAGGCTGCCTACCACCCTCCGCTGTATTGTTCTTTTTTCAGGATCCAAGTAATGTTTCCGTAACGCTTTATTTTATGTCTCCTAATTAATATGAAGAATAAATTGATGTTTACTTATTTATTATTGTTATTGTTGTATTTTCAATTGAATTTATTTCATTCACAAACAGTTAAAAAACAAGTATAATTGAAAGACAAAAAGGAGATGTGTGAAATGGTACAGCCCCACAAAACTATCTGAAGATTAAGACACTAAAAATAAATGAATTTTAAATATATCTTAATAACTTATCTAGAGTTTATCTATATTAACTGAAATCCCCCTCAAATTAACCAAAACCCCTAAAACTGAACTAATACCTTAACTACTAAGTGGTTCCAAGACATTTGTTCTCTTAGTCAAAGTTGTTTAAGTAGGTTAGCAATAAAAACACATATTAGACCAAGGGAAAACATTGGTTCATATTGAATGCATTTCAGAGTAGAGTAAACTGTTTAAAATTCCTCTTTTTCCCCAATAATTAGGACCATGATTACATAGTGTGACTGTCCTCTGGCTTGTTATTTGTTTGTGTTAGTTCTGTTCCTGTTATTCATTTTGTGAGAAACTTATGCTATTAATTAAAATCAATGCATTATTAATTTGCCCTCATACGGCATCTCCCACTTTTATCATGGCTTTAGAGCCAGGTTGTAACAATATGAACTGGATCAACCGATAACATGAAGAGTTATTTACAAGGCTGTGTATGTCAGTTACCATGTAGATTAGACCACTTCTGTGTAATGGGCTACAGTTTACAAGAAAAGGTGGTTTTCTCCAGGGATAATAACATGTTTTCTTTTAGATTCCCTAGTGGTCCCCTTTTATCTCTGCACATAGGTATAGCTGTATAGTAGCAGACATGTTCTGGTGAAAATACCACAGTCCTCTATTTGGACTCAAGCTGATTTAACATTGTTTCAAACAGTTCTGCAGGCTTCATTATTCTTTATATGGTGTATTTATTCCCCTCTACCCTGAGACTGTCAAATAAAAACATGTGCAGTGCTGGTCAGCAGAGACAAGAGCAAGATGTTGTTCTTCTGCTGGAGATTGTCAAGTTGCTGCTTCATCACGCTCCCCTACCTCTCGTTTCCCAGCAAGTAAAAGAGAACCTGGACTACACATGCACACCACTCACTCCCACCATGCAACACTGCGTCAGCCTCCAACACTACCAAAACACAAGGATAAGCCCAGTGACTGTAGCCACAACACACACTCCTACTTTCCCTTTAAATGTGGCACTAAGAAGGTTAAAGTATTTGCATTCTCTTGATCCGTCTCAGTTTTAGGAAAGGTCAGGATTTGCCTAACAAGGATGATGACTTTGAAGTGTAAATTTGGAGTCTCAAGCCACTAACGAGTAGCAAGCTTGAAGTTAGTACTCATAATTAAAGCCTAAATAATGAAATAGCAGGGCCGATTAGGGACAATACAAAAAAATGTAAGATGTCTGCTGTCATTTCAAAACTACTGATATTGTTTAGGATGTCAGTCAGAGAGAACCAACGAGGTATACTTAAATATCTTGTAATGATAATGTATTTATTTAGAATGTGAAAACAATATGGAAGCTTTTAGTTATCACTTTACCGAGAATTATGACCTGGATCTGATGATCCTCTCAGCTTTACGGAGCTTCATAGTGAGTTTCAGCTCATTGTTTAGTTGCGCGACCCAGCACTTTACTTTACTGTTTTGGTTCACTCTTGTGCGGTTTTTGGCTGCAACAGACAGCTATTTTTTGGAGAAAAAGCTCTTAAAACCCACTCTACACTACCCGCTCGGCACCAAACACTAGACGGGCACATTAGAGATCAGCTGGTAAACATAGTGGAGCATTGAGCTTGAAAAAGTACCCTATTTACCTCAGGAGTTAGTACAGACCAAATACATAGCTAAGTGAAGATTGAATGCATGACATTCATCAGGTAGAGAGAATGAATGGTTATGTTTCTCCATAACTGCTGCATGTGTAAATAACCAAACTTTGCTAATAGGGGACAATATGTCAATGCTGTCTTCACAACGTTTTTTTCTACACTCAAGTGACCAAAAAAGGTGGTTATGCAGCCAAAATTAATCACATAAAATAAATACTTGCCAAAATGTTCTCGCTATTAAAAAAAGTAACTCTTACTACATAAACTCACCTACTCTGATTCTCGTTGTTGTTAAAAAGCATTACATCTATGTCTTGACCTTTCTCATCATCTAATGTAGGAACATGTCTGCATATCATTCACATCAGTCACTGTAGGAAAATGAAATTGGTTGAAGCAGCATAAGTATAAGAATGCAATAAAGAACAATAAAAAAGGATTGGCAAGGATTTAATAAAGGATGCCAGTTTTTATTTAGATTTGTAGGTTTATTCACTGAAAACTCTTGCTTATATTATTCTATCTGGTGGAGGATAATATAATTAAAACATTTCCCTCTTGGCATACAGTAGGTGGAGAATACATATACACTAAGACACTGTGTAAGGCCTCCGCTGCTCTCACATACTGTGACAGTTCCGCGTGAGTTTGCATTGGATGGTAGATTACATATTCATTCATTGTGTGCATTCACGCTGAATCGTAGCTGTCAGAGCTGCATCATTTCCTAATACTGGGTACCTGCCTAATAATGCAGTTACCATATCTGTCCCATAGTCTCCTAAATCCACTCTCAAGATGTCATCTCTCATCACACACCTGTCAGCACTGCTTTCATGTTTTCAACGCCTTCCGCCATGAAAGAGACTTTAATCATTTTAAACAGTATGTCATCATGCCATCTTAAACAACGTGACTCTTTTCATATGTATTTATAAGGCAAGTTGTTTCTGTGCTGCAGATGCAACTTTGATTCTACAAAGCAGCTAGTTTCAAAGCAGCACTAAACCTCAAAGGGTCCAATCATTTTAGGGTTCTATTCTTGCAGGTGTACATACACTAATTTTAACTGTTTGACGCTGCTTCAGTCCCTCTGAAATGTGTGTGTGTGTGTGTGTGTGTGTGTGTGTGTGTGTGTGTGTGTGTGTGTGTGTGTGTGTGTGTGTGTGTGTGTGTGTGTGTGTGTGTGTGTCTGATTGCATTAGTGGGTGACTTCTTTCTCGTTGACGTTTCCTCTCATTTTTCTAATTGACTCTAGCCGGAGACGTTGAACCAGGATCACAGATGGAGCGAACAGAGTGCTAATCAAGTCAGTGTAAGTGCAAAATCCTTGAGCTTTCACTACTTTACTCAAAATATTTGTCATTCCCTTTTATTTTTACATATTTCTCATCCTCTCCTCCCCTCCATCCACTGACTCGGCACCATTACAGGAACATCTTCATAGGGGCGGCACTTGTCACTGACTGAATAACCCGAACAAAACTGGGTTAGAAAATCAAAAGATCCAGCCTACAGTGAACAGATAGAGTAAATATGCACACATAAATACATAATTGCACTTTCAAATCATATCAAAACCTGAAGACAAGGCCAATGCATCCTGATTTCACTCTGCTATTAGACATTTCACTCAATTAAGATGCAAATTAATGTATTTTACAGCCACACACAAACAAACATGCAAATGTGTTTTCCATCTTTACGTCTATGTATCTCAGACTCACAGTGAACACCAGCTTGATCATTAGCAGCATCGTTAGCACTTCCTCTCCTTCTGTTTTGTTTTGCCCTTTGGTTTAACTTCATCCGCTGGCATCATTCTTTCACTTCTTCATCTTGTTCTCATTGTGATGTTTTTCTTTTTATGTGGATTAGTTAGTGTTTACTTTCTATTTTTGGATTTGCTTGTAGTGCAAAACTTTCCCCATGCTTGTTAAACACTCTAAAATAAGTAAGACTGTTTCTACCCAGAGCCCTGGTATCAGTGTTTAAGGAAGGTTTTAAGATGAAGAGTGTTTTGTGATCTCTGTCTTTCCTCAGGATGTAACGGCATCATCAGTGGTGTCGTGCAGTCAGGACAAGGAAGCTCTTCCAGAGAAGAATCCACTGAGTCCTGTAAACTCTGAGAGGGACGCACTTCTCATCGGTATGCTGCCTTACTGTATCTCCATCTCATTCCTACATTAACAAATCAGCAATATGCTTTTTACTCTGGTGGAAATGTGTCTCTTTGACCACATTTTCACAATAAAGCCTAACAATGAAGTACACAATTACAAGAAAGGTGCATAACAATGCGTAGTGACCTAAATTACTCTCAGGTAGGCTATAGGAGTAAGGTTATTAACATCCCAACAGTTTGTGTCTTTCATTCACTCTTTGCAGGTGCCTTAGTGTGCCTTTGCCAAACAACATCTTTGTTGTTATGTTGTGTTTTGCTCAAAGTGCAAGCAGTGCTTTTAGCCGTGTTAGCAGTTCGTCTCTAGGGACTGCAGTGTCAGTCACTCAGTCAAACATCTCAATAAATATCACATGGATTACCATGGAGTGTGAAATAGATATTCATGGGGCCCAGAGTGATAATGCAAATTCACTTTGGTGAGTTTTTGTCAGGTCATACATTTGACTTATTCTAACTCTTGTTTTTTTAACCAAATGCCTACATAACTCCCATAAGCCCCAGCTGTTCATTCATTAGAAAAGGTTACAATTCTAACAAGATAAACTATTCTGCTAATCATTAGCATGTTAGCAAACTGATGTTATGTCTTATCATACTCATTATGCTTTAATATCCTGTACAGTGATGGTGCTCTGATATTCTTAACTGTTTTTTTACATGTTATTTTTTTTAGGGTTGAGATCTGAGCTTCACACAATCTTCAGCAGGCCTTTGTTCCACTAAAACACTAACAGGAAGTTCACGAAATGACACCTTTCAATATAAAGAAAATCAATACCGCAATGCTCTCAACAGATATGTTACATCATTAGTTTCACAAAGGGAGTACGTACTACACAGCTGATGAATTGGATTTGATTTGAATGTATTGCATTGTACTTATTGTCCCCACTTTGTGTAAAATAACCACAACGGGCACTACCAATGCCACCTCTGCAGCAGTTTGTTTCTCCGATCTGCTTCAGTCACTTCGACAAATTAGAGCATGAGAGAAGGAAGATATGAAGAGAGAAAGAGCCCATTTTAATCATTAGATTACATAACACAATGTGACTTCATGATGATGGTAAATATGGCAAACATCTATCTCCCTTGTGTGTAATGAACTACATTATTTATAGAAGTAAACAAAGCCTCGTCCTATTTTGCTGCTTGTTTTTCCGGCACGCTGCATTTTCAAATGTTAATTGTCAGAGACATCCGTTGGCTCAAAGCGTGAAAGATAAAACTTGTTCCTTTTTGTTTGGGAGAAAAAAGGAAATGCAAATGGTGCTTTACCAAATGATATATCCTTCTGCAATTGGTCCATCTGGGTCCAGTTTGAGCGTCTTCCTCCAGAAACACTTGCATGTTCTGTCTCATCGCAGGTAGTTAGGTAGTCAATGGTGCTTGTCCTCTGTTCATGCCCACTCTTGATGTTTACTGAGGCGGAGGCGGGCCACAGTTAAAGTTCCCGACACCTTCTCATGTCAGAATCACTCCTCTTGACGTCTTGTTTGATGCTGAGTTGAAGTGAGCACCGCAAGGGAAAAAAGGGACACTCGGCTCCAGGAGGAAAACGTTTCATCAGGAAACAAAGGGTTGAATCTCTTTGCCTTTTCTTTTCCTGCACACAGGGAATGTAGATGAACACAGTTGTGTTATCTTTGAACTATTTTCTTCTGGAAAACTGAGAGGCACAAGATGAAAGCGTTTTTCGTTTGTATTGTTCAGCTGGAAAGGCTTTTTCAGGACAAGATGTTCAAAAAGAATGAAACTCTTATTGTGCTTCTGAAAACACCATTACAATCGTCTGTTATATCCTGTTAATGTATTTTCTCTTTTTCTTCCTATTGCTATATGTGGCCGTTGTTTGTACACAGTTACAGAATTTTACTAAGAGATGAATACTGGGGTCAAGAGTCAAAATTATTCCAGTTTAACCCCAACCTAAGAATTTTTTGTACGACCAAAAACCAAAATCAAATATTCAAAGTATTAAAAGAATATTCAATAACATAATATAGTCTAGATGTGCCTTTAAATCCCTTTTACACTACAAGGTAGTAGGACATTTCCCTTGAATTGTAATTCATGTAAGATGCCTGAAAAAATGTATCATCAAATGAAAAATACACCTTTAAAATCTTAGAAAAATAATAATTGAGGGCTTCACGAAGTGGGAAAACAATTTAAAAGCAGGACATGGGGAAACTACATTACATTTATATGACTTTATACAATGTTCTAGACAATCTTTGCAGTAGTTGTCGTTAACTACATGTGATGGGATTTGTTCTGTCACAGTTCAAACAAACGACAGTATATGCTTTTTACTAAAGTAGGTCATCGATATGCAACATTGCTAACCTGTCATCACCATCTTTTAACATTCATTAGATTTTGTCAAATAAAGTCACAAGTTCCAAGAAATCATGACCTATCCCATATGTTGGCACGGGGGCGTGTGGCGTAGTGGGTTACCCGTAGGTGTTCGGATCAGTGGGTCACAGGGTCAAACCCCACTGCAGTCAGCATGTCGTTGTGTCCCTGGGCAAGATACTTCACCCCAAATTGCTCCTGTGGGGATTGTCATTACATTACATGGCATTTAGCTGAAGCTTTTATCCAAAGCGACTTACGATAAGTGCGTTCGACCAACAAAATACAAACTTGAAGAAAACAGAATCATATAAGTACATCAGGTTTCATAGAGCTAAAACATTTCAAGTGCTACTCAACTGGCTTTAGATAAGCCAGTCCTTTATTAGTATATAAGTGCTTTGTTAATAATTCTATCAATCGAAGTGGAGTCCAAAGAGATGAGTTTTCAGTCTGAAGGAAGATGTGTAAGCTTTCTGCTGTCCTGATTTCAATGGGGAGCTCATTCCACCATTTTGGAGCCAGGATAGCAAACCCACGTGTTTTTGCTGATGGGAACTTGGGTCCCCCTCGCAGTGCGGGTGCAGCGAGCCGTTTGGCTGATGCAGAGCGGAGTGCACGTGCTGTACGGTTTAACCATGTCCTGGATGTAGGTAGGGCCAGATCCATTCGCAGCATGGTACGCAAGTACCATCGTCTTGAAGTGGATTCTAGGAGAATTGTCCACAGTATTGAGTATATAAGTCTCTTTGGATAAAAGCGTCTAACAAGTAACATGTAATGTAATGTTGCTCTGTATAGTCAGATCTTGCATGTTTTGCCGGTAAACATGAAGACACACATTGAGGTAAGATCATCTCGAGAACCCCCACCCTAATCTCAGCTGTCGTTTTGGTGTCTTCTGTTAATCTCGTGATGCTCAAACGACAAGTCAAGGTGCAGGATTTCTCTCCCCTGGTCATGATCAGAGAGTCGAGAGCAGATGATTTGTTCAGTTTGTGGAGAGCTTCAGAATCAGACAGCTTTGATGAAAGATAACGGCATCAAAGCTGCCATCGAACACTCTAATCTGGAGCCGTGATATACAAGAGGCTCTCAACATTGTTGTGAGTCTGACAAAAGTGACTCGATCATCCCCGCTTGTAATTCAGTCAGCCAAAATGAGGAAAAATAATACAAATTGATTTCTTGATTATTCTGCATTATTGAAGTCATGTTTGATAGGCAACAGAAACTGAAAGGCTGGAGCTTTGTGACAAGTATGTGTTTGCATTTTGACAGTTTAATTAACATGTGTGCCTTCCCTATTTGTTTAACCTCAGGGATCATTTCAACCTTCCTGAACGTCCACCCGTTTGGAGCCAGTATGGAGTACATCTGTTCCTACCTGCAGCGCTTAGACACCAAGGTAACACACACACGGTCACACACATTCATACCCTAGACATAGTGACACAGATTAAATTCCCCTGCAGGGCTGACATATGGCCTGCTGTATGCCAGGGCCCTGCTGTGCCATTTTAGTCACCTGGCATGCAAATAATCCCGGAGTCAAGGAAAAGACATCAGTTACTCTGAGGTTTTTTTCAGCCTTCATTTATCTCGGCAGAGCTTGGTGAGCAGGAACATCAATTTAAAGCTTCACTGCTTCACACTCGTAGACCTGTACGTACCAGGGCTGTACAGTATTTAAAGAAATAGGCTGAATATCGAAGGTGTCTATAGGTTTTAGAAGTAGTTCATCTTCAAATAGTCAATTACTTTTTATGATTTTAACCAGATAAGCTTTGCAGTGTGGAATAATGCTTCAATAATGTTCCACGGGTGTATTTGTACATATCTGAAATCCACAGGAAAATGATGGGAATGGCTTAAAAGTCCATGGCTTTTTTTGCATGATACAAATAAATTCAAGAATTAAAATAAATGGTCAAAAATCCTTCCAAAATACCACATTAAGAAACAACGACCTTGAGAACACCATAGACAAAGCCATGCTGTGATTTGGAATTAGAAAGTGAGGATTTTTGTAAGAATTGATATTTTAACTTCTGGATGTTGAGCGCTTGTGTTCTGCTCAAAAAGCCCTTATTGTCAATATTCTTATAACATCTACTGAATGCTCTTGTTGTTAGGTTTTTAATTTTAAAGTTTTGATGAGGCTATGAATAACCTAAAGATCCCAACAGGTCATTTTATTCAGTGGACAAGATCCATAAAATGATCTCACTACAAGGAAATGGCTACTATGGGGATTAGCATCATCACACATGAATGTGATAAGGCTCATTACATCCACAAGAGTCTTCCCTCTTATTTCCACTTTCGAGTCCAAAGATCATGCAGACATGTTAAGATACAACATTTTTTAAATAGGCGAAAATAATACATTTCTACTGCTTGCAAAACACTGCATGCTTTTGTCCCTAAGTGCATGGGATAAGCATAAAAACCCATTTTCATTCTCATATTTTGAGGTCAAGGGACCACTGTGAATGTACCACACCAGTTCTTCCCTTGCTGAATGTAGCCTTACTTTGCAGCATTATTGCCAGCTAGCATGATATTATTGGTAGCAATAGATTCTCGCTTTAATATGATAATATTGTATTCACTCCAATTTAAAAGTGAGCTCGCTTTAAAACAGTGAGGTCTGCCCGGGGCTCCCATCGATCCTGTGGGTCTCAGAGGGTTAATAGCAGCAGCCTCAACATAAAGTGAAGCGATATTTTCTTTGCTCTGTTCGAGCCTCATTGCTTCTGTCCTGTTGCCGTTATCCCTTTATAATTTTTTCACACATCCCCAGTTGCACGACTTATTGATGAATATATTCATGTTCTGCGTCCGCCTGCTGCTGCTGCCTGCCTCGGCCAGTTTAGGCTGTTAGTCAGCCTGATTTCTGGGAACAAGGCGCCGTGTTTGAGCTGATTCCTGGAAAATAACTCAGCCTTGTTCTCGTCATCCCTATAAGACCGTTCTTAATTACTAAATGTCCTATCATTAACTAATAATGGTCAACGGTTTCTAACAATGAACTCATAAAACAAAGTCATATTAATGACAGACAGTGTCATTCTGTTAGATATGTTTTAGGGTGTCCTGCCCTCCTGAATTATTTACAAACAAATTGATATAAAATGACAGGGATTACTCACCATCAGTCTGTTTTAGGGTGTTGTAGGACTGGAAGTCATTATATTATACGTTTTCTATTGTATACATTTTTTTAAATGTAGACCCGGGTTGTCAGAAAAACAGTTAAGAAATGCCCATCAATATTATATTGCGTATTTCTGATTGATGGATTACTTGATTGCTGGTAAAAAATGTTATGTTATAGGCAGTGATGTCACAGTGTACCACAGATTGTGTTGGTACACTGTGACATCCCTGTGTGGTTAAAGACGCAACACATGTGAACAATCAACCAGCAAGGAGAATCAAAAGCTAATTTCAGCATGCTACAGTTTACTTTTTATTCACTTATCAACCATGTTTTGACTTCATTTCAGCACTTAAAGTTAGGGTAGGTAATTCACTTCAGAAACACTTTTTGTTATATTCCATGGAATGCTCTTAACATCCCGATAGCAATGAATATATTAAACGCTTTGATAATAAATATATAAACAAACATGTAATCTGTGGAAGCCGTAGTACTGTAAAAAGCACGACCAATCGTCTCTTTGTGTGTGTTGGAGGAGGGGCTCTGTAAGGAAGCCTGAAGGAAGGGGCAGATTTTTTCCAGTTGTGTACTTTCAAATTCGGGCGCACTCGATCCGGTTTCTCCATTCTTACCTACCCTACCTTTAAATGAATATTAAAATGTGGGTGATCGTTACTTGAGTTATAGATCTTTAATATATATATTCTAGAAACATTGAAACTCATTCTTAAACAGGTATACAAGAAGCACACCATGTACATGTTAAATTATAGTTCAACGTTTAGGATAACATGCTTATTTCGAAAAGTGATACAATTTACAAATCAGTTCAACTCTATTTTTCACTCACTTTTTGTACAGCTTAATCAAAAGGGATGTAATGTTATAATTAAAGAGCTGTGAAGTTTCTGATAGTCAGGTTGTTGTCAAAGCAAGGCAAGCTGTTTCCAGTCTTAATGCTTGATTTGTATCTCACAGGCATAAGTAGTATGAATCTTCTCATCAGACTCTCTGCAAACAATGAAGTGGCCCCAATTATTATATTTTGTTCAGAATGTCCCTGTGTTTCTTGCCGAATCAGTCTTTGAACAACTAGTAATCCTCTTAATGGAACTACAAAACACACATATTTGGCAAACAAAAACGTCTTTGCATATTAAAAAAAAAGAAGGAAGCTTGGTATTTCCAAAATGCTCAAACCATTACTCTAAACCTAATACAAAAATATACACGTTGTGTAGGTTTGGGTGTGGCATGCTTTATTCATGATTGTGTTGCGTGATGTTGTCAAAGGGGCCCTATTATGCTTATAAAAAGAAATACCTTTTTTACAACATTAAAGCATGTAAAACATGTCACATTAGAGGCACAACATTCTTATATGAACCAGAAAATGAGCATTATATGTCCTCTTGAAAGTCTGTGTGCAGCTGTTTGCCTGTATATCTCCCTTTTGACACTGAGTCTGCACAACAAGCAGCCCACAGAGTTTTGTCAATAGTGCTGGCTGGACTCCCCAACAACAACCCCGCTTCTGTGCTTATCTACCGGCTCCATACTCACACAGCTCCATGTCTGTAATGATACAGGAGTCCTATCTCCATGATGGACCTTAATGCATCCTGACATCGGCACACGGCTCAAACAACATAGCTTTTTAATACATGGCTGTGTGGGTGGTCCGCAGCAGCTTGTAAAGTAGATTTCTGTCTCTCCTGTCACCTTTGCCTATTTGGTGCCCCTCAGTCCACACGGGTGGTGTGAACCTGTCATGTAGCTCATATCATGGTCTTGATGCTTGCCCTTTTCATATGGTTTAAGAGAAGGTGTGAGAACTAAGTGTGAGCATTGTGAACATGAGGAGCAGAGGCGTGAGAAAGTATTTGTGTGTTGCATTCAAGTCTCTGCCTGTCTGACATGTGTCCGCAGATTAACACCAGTGAGGTGGAGGCTCTTCTCTCTCGGCTGCCCTGCACCTTCAGGCAGGAGCTAAGCGGAGTCGGAGCGAGTCTGGAGAAACGCTGGAGCTTCTGCGGCTTCCAGGGCATCAAGAGCACATAAACTCTGCCGGAGACGCTTCTGAGAAGAGGGAGAGATGACAGGCCACACAGGTACACGGAGGAAACTCTAGAAATGTGGAGGACGCACAACACTAATGGAGATGTGGGGCTCTACCTGCTAAGACAAGAGCCCAAATTATCCACCGCACATCTCAGATCATGAGGGGGTGTTTTGTGTAGGTTGCAGAGAGATAAATATGCAGGTTTTTGTGATGGCAAATAATTGTCTGCATCTCTATGGTGATCAGGAGATGGATATATCTCTATGGTGACAGTTGCGTCATCTCTCACTCTATCCTTTTTTTTTTTTACCCATGGGATTCAGCTAAAGTCCCATCAGAGAGCCAATCTCAGCGGACTCAAGGTATTGGTTGTATTTTTCTACTCCGGCCCCCGGTTGGCTCAGTGAACTCGCAGACCCGAACTAAAGGGCTTTACAGGAAGGTCACCTCTCAACCTCAAAACTCTCCTAGCTTCCTTCGTGGCTTCTTTTGGATTTTGTACAATATATAAATATGAAATAAATGCTAAGGTACACGTTTTATCATAGGAGTGATTTTTTTTGTTATTGTAAACAAATAACAGGTTTGATATTGGCTATTAGACGACATTCAAACGGTGCCTTTCAGCTATGATGCATTCAAACGGACAGTCGATTTTCGTTTTACAATTTTATTTCATATTTTCTGAATGTCAATAACAAACCTTTCTTCTGCCGAATTCATGCCTCATCCACTTTTAGACACAGAAGATAATTGTCTTTGTAGTGTCTTTGTAGCAAAATGTGAAACAGAGCTTCCTTTTGTTTGACTCAAAGGCTCAAACTAACAGTTTGGTGTTTCTGTTCCTGCAATATGTGCAAGGCATCCGCTACATACATCCATGGCAAACATTGTTGAATCACTTAATGGAGGAATACTATCGCAGTAAAATACATTTAAAATGAAAGCATCGGGTGGTTTGTGGCTTTACAGAAAGTTACAGATGAAACTGTAAAACTGAAAATATTAGAAGAAAATATCTTACGGTTGTACATTTTGTTGAAACTGTTCATGCTTTCTGCCCACAGAATTATCCCAGCTTATTGTGCTGGATGATATAAATCTGCCTCCTTTTTTCTGTTCTGTATGTCAGCCAAGTCTGATCCCAAACCCTGCTGAAGACGAGCATCTACTGCCATCTATTGGAGACACTAAACTGAAGAGCTTCACAGCTGTCGTTCCCCTCGGGTCAATAACGGCTGGCGTTGTGCTGTGTGCGACGGCATTTAAGAAAATGCTCTCCTGTTACCTGCTGTATCGACTGATGGCACATTTAATGTTATATTGAGGACGATCAGTACAATGAAACATTTGCATTTAGTTCCTTAAAGGGGCTTTATTTGTGTAACAACAGTTTGATTTAATCCAAACATTACAGTGCACAGAACATATTTTTTATACAAATATACTTTATCATGTCATGTGTCTCCTCAGAATGAAAATAGCTGTTTTTCACGGCTAAACCACTAGAATATTATATGTTCAACATTGGTGTGGTTGACACACTTTGTCAAGGTGTGGTGACACTTCATTCTACATGTTATCAACTGTTTCTTTAAATGATTATGTATATTCCACAGTGGTAAAATACTGTAATCCCCTCATCCACATTGCACTTTACACACAAACCAAGCAGCTCTATCAAACACATGATGCCACAATTATTTGAAATTATTAACATGTTTTTTAAACATTACAACCATTTCTGTCAAGTTACCAGCTAAGAGCAGATGTGTGTGTGAAAAGAATAAGCAAAACAGAAGACACTCTTTCAAGACTGGTAAATACAATAAAGATGCAGGAATGTTGGATATTAAAATGGCAGCTACATTGATGGTAAATGTGTGATGACCAATGAGAAAGCTTCTGGGGGATGTAAATGTCGTCCAGTCACGAGAGAGTGCTCACATCCACATCTTGCAGTCCGAATGCATTTTGTTTAGTTGTTAACACAGTCATTGAGTTCTGAGTCTGTTTCCCTCCCAACAGGAAGAAGTGAATCTGTCCATAAGGTGCGCTCTGCTGATCTATATGTATTGGGCGTCCATGATATCCAGATACTTGGCTTCGATGACTCGGGGTAGAAGGGTGATCCTGAAATAAAACACAAAGAGATACCAGATGATGTTGTGCAGTTACGTACATGTTAGTATGGAAAAGGTTTCTTAATGTATTAATCCTTCATACACAGACACAAAACGCTTTACAAAAGTCTTTCAAACTTCATATTATAGGGCAATACAAAAAAGTTCAAAGCTGTATGTTATCTTTCAAACGCTGAAACTCAAATGTTAAACACTCAAATGCTGCGCAGCTTCTTTTTCTTTCATCTCTATTCATTATGGTCTCTCTGCACAGTTGCAGATAAAGATTAGGCTTTAGTTATATTCCATAAGAAGTTATTTTTTTATGTTGAATTAGATTTCAGTGAAAGCTTGTTGGAAAGGACTGTTTCCGACTAGCTTGATCAAATAATTTCCAACAACGTTATTGTATTTCAAAGTACAAAATTCAATAAAGTAATAAAATATAAATATAATCATTTCTCAAAATCAAACCATGGAAAGGAGTTTAAAACGGTTTGCTCTCCTACACACAGAGGAGCATACAATGATGAACTAAAGTTTAAAGTAAGTTGACATTATAAAAAAGACTACTGCATATACACTGATGACATCGCATTATCCAAATTGAGGATTTTGATCAAAGACTTGTTTCTTAGGATGATGTCATAAAATCTATATTATAATAATATAACAGACATTTGAGGATTCAATCCAACATCTCAATACAAGCTTTATATGTCAAATAATTACACGTTGTTCAGCCTTACTCCTCATCCTGAGTTTTTATAACTTTGTGGTTTGGCTTTAAAGACCAAGCTAAAATGATATCACTCGGTTATTTCCTCATATTTCAGAAAGTCCCCCCCAGAGCCACAGTACTTCATCTACCTGTTTCCAGAAGTAAACTGAACTTCATATCAAGAACGAATCTTAGCCAATATACTGTAAACTCTATGCAGACATTGCAGCAGTGTGTTGGTTTCCACGGTGCCGCTCTGCCCCCTGTTGGCCTGGCTCTTCTTACCTGACAGGGACCAGCAGGATCATCAGGAGGGGGAAGACCATCTTCATGTAGGGCAGAGGATACATCCCGAACGCACACAGGATGATCAGCTGGAGCATCTGCAGCGCCGTAAAGTAGTGGACCTTCTTCTGAGGCACGCGGCGAATGTAGTGTGTGGGAGGATAGGAGGTCTGGACAAAGGAAAGTGAGTAACATGTGGTTACAATGCTTTTAGATGACATGTTGTTTTACATTTAGTTTCCTAAAGTAAAAGTAGTTTACTTTCAAGTCCATTAAAGTTGGGTAATATGTTCATGTAAAGACACAGTTGTTGCAGGGTGAATGAAACATCTGGTTGGAAAATGTTATAATAAGGTATTTTATTATTATCAAATCATGTTTCTATGAGAAATGTTTTAACAAGATATCACCAGAGGCCTGTACGACGAAGCCGGATTTTCACTTAGCGAGCTAACTTCAGGGGAAACTCTGGCTTTCTGGTCCTACGACGCTGGTTCACTTCATAGCGGGCTAGATCTCCATGGTAACTTATGCTGAGTGGCTAGCCTGGTCCGGAGCAGGTTAGGTTGCAGGCTAAGAGATCAAGTCAGTGAAAGCACCGCCTGCTGACCAATCAGAGCTCAGTGTGCGGAGTTTAAAGCGATCAAGTCATATTACAGGAGAAAGGAAATACAGTTTAAACTGCCGTTGCAGGAAAGAAGGCCGGCAAAAATCACCGACTGTGTGAACGTGAAAATGAATAGAATATCACCTCCCATCTTCAGAGCAATCTGACTATTATAACATTAGCTTTAAGAAAGCTTACTTAAATATCTGCCACAACATAAGTAACCGGATCATAGTAACATTACGTACAGTCTGCGGCACTGTGAGTGCAGACGTCGATGTGTCCCATTATCATTCATATCACATCATGTATCATATAGGCCTATTTCCTTATCTGAGTCAGCTGAGCCGTATCTGGCCGTGCAACACTCAGTGTCACATACTGTATGCAGAAGTATTATTTTAAGCAACACATTAAGTTGACAAAACACTCGAGTCAAATGTAATTAAAGTCAGATCCACTCGNCGCTGGGCGCTAATGCTAATAATGCTAATGCGAGGATAATAAAATGGCGGGTGCGGATTGCAAACCACGCCCCGTAAAACAAAAAAAAAGTGTTGTGAAGCCGCCATTTTATTATCCTCGCATTAGCATTATTAGCATTAGCGCCCAGCGCAGAAATGCAGAGAGACTAACTTATGGCAACACAAAAGAAAACATGGGAGCGGTGGAGATGAGGAGGTGTCGGCGTTCTGGCGATTTACTCGGAAGGCTTCAGTAGAAGCTGCTGGGAGTCCCAGCCCCAGGAACTTATTCCGGTGTGAACACGAAATCAGAACTAAAGAGTTCTCATGAACTAAGTTCTGATGAACCTTTGTGGGAAAAGTACTGCGGTGTGAAAGCGCCTTATAAGAACATTACCTAACTTCTCTGTTGATTTATCACCTCAGTAAAGCAATCCCAGCTGAGTTTACTGTTATTGCATGTTTCAAGCCTTCTACAATATTTGTAAGGGCTAGGATACCTTGTGATTGACAGGTCAATACCATGCTGTTGTCTGGGACAAAGTGTTTTCAGATCATGAAAGTTCATTGGAACATATTGGTCGTTTAAAAATGTCTTTTCAGTAGTTGTACTTTGTATTACCCTCTTGGATGCAAAAACACAAGATGGCAACGGCCAAAATGCCAACCATGAGACTTCAATACTGTGGGCCACAAAGCCATGGTTGTTGTCCTGATATTTGCCCACTTCTTTTATGCATCCTATGTGTGATGGAAAATTATGAAGCAATGGAGACAGGACTTTGATGGCAAACACTGATGGTTTATTATGGAGTTACGGCCGGAGAATTGACAAGACATTTGATGCCGCCGCGAGGGGTCACAGCGGTTGCCAAACCAATTCTGAAGAACTCTTCTGTAATTTGAGGTTTTAACTAGTTCCGAGTGTAATAATCAACAATCCTCATCAGTGAGACTGAACAAATATGGACCCTGAATCTAACTAGAGCTGTTGTCCATAGAAAAGAATGTGCGCCAGGGAACCTACGTTCCTGAACAATGAAGTACCTCATGGCAGCTTGTGCTCTGTCATAGGCTCAACAATGCGCCCAAGCTGCCCCTCCTTAAGAGAGATTATAGCAATACCCGAGGCCGTAGATCTATGCCATTGGAAAAGAGACAGTGAAAGGAGAACATTATTGACTGTGTCAAAGGTTGAATACCTAAGCAAATTATTCCCTAACACTATGGTCGATACACACGGAGATGCTGGAGATTAGGGCCAGTTTTGCTCAGAAAGAAATAGCTTGCTTGGTATGTGGTCCATAGAGTCAGCTTAAGAAGTGTTTGTTCCTGAACACCCAGGCAGGGTGAAAGTCAGCCATTAAGGAGAGAGGGGAGATGTGACATTATTAAAACATAGAGGGTTCTAAAGCTGTTTGACTGTCCCATAAGGAGTCCTGGTGGATTTAAGCTTTTGTCTGGAGCTACAGTTAAAATCAACACTTATATATCAGCTCGAGTCTGAGCTTACCATCTGCTGCCTAAATCAAATCAGCTGTCTTGTGACAACACAGTCTTTCTCATAATCTATTTATCCATAAGGGTAGTTTGAACGCTTTATGATGTCCATCTGTAGCAAACAAAATACACTTATTTTCATTTGTGTCTTGATTGTTTTTACTTGACTTGGAGTCAAACTGCGGTTTTGTTGTTCTATAGATTAGTATGTTATTGTATGCTTTATTGTTATATTAAGGGTTTAACTATTGTGATTTTTGTAATGTTTTAACACAGCTCTATAATCAGCAGGTCTCCTGTGGGTTAGCTAGGGTGTGAATTAAATCAGTGAAGATACACCATTCTTATTAATTATCAGAAGAATGCAAATGTCCTTCATTATAGTTCGTAATATTCTGAGGGTGTGAATAAGGCTCCTTCTTTTCAGCATTGCAATAAAACTAAAGTTTGAAAAATACAATTCAATACCTTATTCCTTTATATGGTGTGGAGAGGGATGAACATCAATCACATTCCCTTTTATTATTAAAATGATTGTCAATATAGGCCTGCTGTTGCATTGACTGCTAGTCAAATCAGAAAGACACCCAATAATAACATTTCTAATATTTCATCCAGAAGGGTGCTGAAATAATGATATAAATTACAAGGTAAATATATCCTGAATTGTGCTCAATTTCACCTGTGTGACATAAATCACGTCACCATGTCACAGTGTCTATTATCAACATGGGGTAGGGGTCACAGTGTCTATTATCAACATGGGGTAGGGGGGGTCAGCCACCAATTGTGCAAGTTCTCCCACTTAAAAAGATGAGAGAGGCCTGTAATTTTCATCCTAGGTATACCTCAACTATGAGAGACAAAATGAGAAAAAAAAAATCCAGAAAATCACATTGCCTGATTTTTAAAGAATTTATTTGCAAATTATGGTGGAAAATAAGTATTTGGTCAATAACAAAAGTTCATCTCAATACTTTGTTATATACCCTTTGTTGGCAATGACACAGGTCAAACGTTTTCTGTAAGTCTTCACAAGGTTTTCACACACTGTTGCTGGTATTTTGGCTCATTCCTCCATGCAGATCTCAGAGCAGTGATGTTTTGGGGCTGTCGCTGGGCAACACAGACTTTCAACTCCCTCCAAAGATTTTCTATGGGGTTGAGATCTGGAGACTGGCTAGGCCACTCCAGGACCTTGAAATGCTTCTTACGAAGCCACTCCTTCGTTGCCCGGGCGGTGTGTTTGGGATCATTGTCATGCTGAAAGACCCAGCCACGTTTCATCTTCAATGCCCTTGCTGATGGAAGGCGGTTGTCACTCAAA